CGCGTTGCGGGAAGCTTACGTCGTGGCAGCGTCTTACGCGCGAGCCATGTCAGCCGGCGATCGGCTGTCTGCTCCAGGGCCCATGGAGATCAACGCTATTGAGGCGTCGGGTGCTCACCCGCGTTCGGGCTATCGGCGGAACAATCGTCCACTGACTTGCTTCCGTTGCCGGAAGATTGGACATCGCGCGGCAGAGTGTCGTGCGCCGGCTCCGGTGCTCGCCCACCTTGATGTGGACGATTGCCTGGCCGCTCAACCAAAAAACGGTTAGGGCCAGTAGTTGCGGGGCGCCCTACTGGAATGGAGGCCCTGGTCCCCCGGTGGCGGGGCGGCCCCCTAGCCCTCCTGTGCTACAAGCACACTTCAATGCCACCACCAAGAACGGCGACTCGAGGCTAATCATCGTCAGCCTTCATGTCGCCGGAGCCCGGCGTCCACTTCGCGCGCTCCTCGATTCGGGAGCGACCAACAACTTCTTCCGCGCGTCGTCTTTGTCGGTACTCCCAAAGCGTATTTGCGTCCGGGAAGGCCCGGGCGAGGTTGAAGTCTAGCTTGCGGATGGCAAGTCTCACCGCATCGCGCGGCGCGAGGTGTCCTTGCCCTATACGCTCGATGGATTCCGCAGCAATGACAACTTCCTGGTGATCGAGATGAATTACGCGTTTGACTGTATCCTGGGCATTCCGTGGCTTGCCAGATACCAGCCAGAAATTGACTGGCTGGCTAGATCTGTCAGGCGTCGAAGCGACTTCGACGTGAGCGAGGTGTACACCCATCTCTTGGTGGCCCCCAGTGATTGGCCCCACGTCACAGTCGTGGACAAGTCAGCCACAATACGAGTCGTGCACAGAGCGAGCGATGGCCCTCTCTGCGTAGCTTGTGCTGTGCTGCTCGAGGAAGAGAGCAACAATACTTCCTTACGGCGACGCAAGGTCAAGGGTATGGTAGTTGAGTCTGGGGTACTCCCACCACAGCGAGAAGCGGTGAAGCAGGGGCTCCCGCAACGTGGTCCAGCGGTCGAGCGTGGGTTCCCGCAACGACGAGCAGCGGTCGAGCGTGGGTTCCCGCTGCACCAAATAGCGGTCGAGCAGGGGCTCCCGTTCAAGCGGATGGTGGTCGAGCGTGGGTTCCCCCATCCGCAGACGATGGTAGAGCAGGGGCTCCCATCGACATCGATGGTCGTCGAACAATCGACGCTTCCGTACCGTGTTGCTGCGGTCGAGCAGAGGATCCCGCATGTCCCCGGCGTGGTCGAGCGTGGTCTCCCTCGCCTAGAGGAGGGTGATGAAGAATCAAGCGACAGCGCGTCTTGCTCAAGAAGCGGCAGGCGCAAGAAGCGAAAGAACAAATCCGGGCGCCGACGTCTGAAGCCACGGCGCGTCCAGCCTGCGGGCGATCAAGTCGAATCAGTTCATGCACTCGAGTACGTCGAGGGTGCGCCGCAGCGGTCACGAGTTATCGAGGTTTCCAGCCCGCCGAGCGACGCCGAGACGATGACGCGTCTTCCGGGGCTCTTTTGGAAACACTTCCTGCGCGACCAGAATGCCGGTGAGATTGAGCAAGTGTGCTTGATCACAGAGGCAGCCTTGGCGTCGGATGAGATTAACGCCATCGACACCGAGGGTGGACTGCTGCGACCGAAGAGCACTGAACCAAAGTCAGCGAGAGAAGAACGATTTGCTGCTCAGTCATGGGAGGCGCTCACGAAGTCCGGAAACCCTGTGTATCAGCACGCCTGCGAGTACGCAGACGTCTTCCCGGAGAAGATCCCCGCGGAGCTCCCAGCAGAGAGGGGAGTTCGCCACAAGATCTATCTCGCACCTGGCGCGAAGTACTGTGTGACTCGCCAATGGCCGTTACCTCGAGAACTAGTCAAGGCCATCGACGATTTCTTCGAAGGACGCCGCCAAGCTGGACACGTTCGTGAGAGCATATCACCTCACTCCAGCCCGACGTTCTGTGTCAAGGAGACCACTGGCGGATGGCGGATCGTTCACGCGTTCAACAAGCTGAATGAAGCCACCATCCCGGCGCACACTCCGATCCTCCGGAAGGATATGGTCCTCGACTCCATGGCAGGCAGCGTAGTTTTCACCGCCATCGACTTGACCGATGGGTTCTACCAGATTCTAATGAGAGAGTCCGAGATACCCCTCACTGCAGTAAGTACCCCGAGCGGTATGCTTTGGGAGTGGTTGGTGATGCCACAAGGACTGAAGAATGCGCCTGCGACCTTCAATCGCATGGTATCCCATGTCCTGCGTCCCCTTCGCGACTTCGCACCGAGTTACTTCGATGACATCTTTGTTCACAGTCATGCTGAGGACGGACTCAGCGCAGTGGACGTGCATCTGATCCACTTGGAGAAGGTGTTCCGAGTGATGCGAGAGAACAAGTTGTACGCGAACCTGAAGAAGTGTGTTTTATGTGCGCCCGAGATCCCAGTGTTGGGATGCTATGTGAGCAAGGACGGAGTGCGTGCTGACCCTGAGAAGGTCTCATCGATTTGCGCGTGGCCCACGCCCAAGAACCCCACTAAGCTACGTCAGTGGCTCGGCATGGCTAGCTACCTTCACAAGTACACGAAGAACTACGCCGGCTTAATTCAGCCTTTGTCTTCGTTGCTAAAGAAGGAAGCCACGTGGATATGAAAGCCAGAGCACCAAGCCGCATTCGACTCGGTGAAGACAAGCTTGTCATCAGCCCCTGTTCTGATGCTTCCTGATGACTCCAAGCCGTTCCACGCTGTCTGTGACGCGAGAGATTTTGCCATCGGCTGTGCGCTGATGCAGTCCGACGACGAGGGGCATGAGCGCGTGGTCAGCTACCAATCGAGACAGCTGAAACCAGCTGAGCGTAATTATCCTGTTCACGATAAGGAGCTCCTAGCGATGCGCTATGCCTTGGTCAAGTTCCGTGTGTATCTCCTTGGTGAGGAGTCGTTTGCTGTGTACACCGACCATGCATCGCTGCGGACAGCGATGAAGAGCCCACATCTCTCGCAGCGCATGGCGCGATGCTATCATTCTTCTCCGAGTATAACTTTGTCGTTCATTACAAGCCGGGCAAGAACAACATCCTCGCCGACGCGTTGTCTCGTCGTCTCGTCGTCCAAACTACGACCCACGAGGTGCGCTCGGTCATCAGGCGGCTGATGTGGATGCTGAAGATGATAAGTGTGCAGTCTGTCTCGCGTCCGAGATAACATGACCGTGAGCGAGCCAACGCAGCCGTTGGGCGATGAGATAGCAGCCGCTTACGCGGCCGACCCCGTATATTCCGGCATCTTGCAACATTTGCGGTCTCCCAAAAAGTCTACCCTGGGAGCGTTGTCGCGTTCGACACGCAACCAGATTGACCGATACGCTTTGGATGGGAACCTACTGACTTATACCATCGACCGGTTCGATGGAGCTCGGATCGTCGTGCCGAACGACGCGGATCTTCGCGGACGAATTGTCCACGAGTTCCATGATGCCCCCGTGGGAGGCCATCTGGGCCGCGAGAAGACATTTCCCGCGCTATCAAGAGACTTCTACTGGCCCCACATGTACAAGTGGGTGCGCAAGTGGGTGCGCACATGTGAGGTTTGCCAGCGTGTGAAACCGTCTTCGGCTTCGAAGGCCCCCGCTAAGACCCCTTCCGATCGCCACGGAAGCCTGGCGTTCTGTTTCCATGGATTTCATTTTTGGCCTTCCGCCCGATTGGGCCGGGCGTACTGGTGAACTGGTGTTTGTGGATCGCTTTAGTAAGATGGTGCATCTTGTTCCTGTGGCAGACTCTGTTACCGCGGAGGATTCCGCGGGTCATTTTATTGATGTGGTGTTTCACTACCACGGCCTGCCTGAATCCATCGTCTCCGACAGAGATCCACGCTTTACTTCAGCGTTTTGGTCCCGCCTCTTTGAATTGCTGGGCACCAAGCTATTGATGTCGACTGCCGCACATCCGGAGACGGATGGACAAACCGAACGGGTCAGCAGAGTCCTCGAAGACGTTCTCAGAAGCTACGCCACGTCGTTCTCGAGTTGGAGCTCCTTTCTGCCGTTGGACGAGCTCGCGTTGAACAATGCAATTCACGCATCGACAGGGTGGACTCCCTTCTTCGTGAATAACGCGCGACATCCGTGCGTGCCAGCTCAGCTCGCCGTGGGTCACCCCACAGAATCTACGGGCTCCACCCTTGGTGGGGGAGAAGCTGGTCCCGTTGCAGCACGCGCAGCGACTCATTCCGCATGTGACGCGACTGGACTTGAAGATTCGATAGAGCGAAGGGTCGCCTCCTGTGCAGTCGCCCCGCGAACGGTCGCGGAAGATTCTGGGCCAACACTATTTCGTAACAGTTCCGCCCATCCCGTCCGACCGTCGGACAATGAGTCAGAGAGCCGACTGCCAATAGTGTTTCAGGGTGCAGCTGATTTGAACGCAATAACACGCGCGCAGTCACGCAACGCCGCCGTGGAGCCGCGGCGTGCAGTATTACCGATTGCCGAGTGGACGGCGCAGCAGTTAATCAACCCTACAGGCGCCGCAGGAGCGGTGAAGGCGAACTCACCGAAGCAGTCGGTGCAAGCAGCCGATCGCTCGGCTGTGTCGGAGTTCGTTTTACAACGACAGTCAATATCGAGGTTCGTCAGGGATGCGCTGCAGAGCGCAGTGGACAAGCAGAAGGAGAACGCGGACAAGCATGGAAGAAAGAACGTGGATTCGTATGCAGTTGGGGATCACGTACTTCTCTCCACCAAAGGCATTCGGGCTTCGGCGGTCACGAACCTTGGCGCGAACAAGCTCGCCCCGCGCTTCATTGGGCCCTTCAGAGTGCTGAAGGTGATCGGCGACGCTTATACCCTGGACATCCCGACGTCGCTGCTGCTACACCCGACGTTTTACGTCGGGCGACTCAAGCGGTACCACCCGGCGGTGGTTCTGGATGCTGATCGCCAGGGCGATCTGGCGGTGCGTACAATGACCGATCAGCGCGGCGTGCCCGCCGACCTTGCGAGCCATCACCCCTAAGCGCCCGCTCGCGCGGACGAAACCAGCCTGTGGCGAGCCAAAGACTTGAGTCTCCACGAACCGGAGGCGACTCAAGAGTTGCTGATTCGACTGCCGAATCTGCGTCACGAGTGCCTCAGCCCGCGCAGCGCGATCTTCTGCCCGCTCAGCCTCCGCTTGAGCGCCCAGTGAGCGAGTTAACGCAACCTCAGCGTCGTGAGCAGCGAAAACAGGGACTGTACCGCCGTAGCGCTCCTCCGCCGATTGTTGATTCGGCGGGCGAGACTCTCTGGATAGTGGATCGAATCGTCTATCATAGGGATCCCACCCACGAGTTCGCTCGCGGCCGTCGCTCCGCCAAGGCTGTTCCTGACGCACGTAAATACCGCGTTCGTTGGCTTGGGTTCCCTCCCGAGGAGGATACGTGGGAGCCACGCGCCAATCTCCTCCGTGATGTTCCAGATGTCGTTCGCGACTATGATTCCGGCCTCTCGACGGTGAGAGCTCCCGCGGAGCACCCCGCGGCGACCGCGAACGTGTGCGCGGGCGTGCACACGCTGGTGACGCGCTCCGTGCCGACCGTGGCGTGCGTGAGCCGCCGTGAAAAGCGGTGTTGCTGATGTTGGAGAGCGTCCGTTCGTACTTGGCGATCCAAGCCGACTCTGCAGCGCTGAGTGGTCTCTCAGCGACGTGTTGTGCCCATTCGTCTTGCGTCGGGCGTCGGGACTCTCCACACACTCGACAGCCTTCCCGAAGTTGAACGTAACACGAGCGGTCTTCAGCCCAAGCATTCTCGCACACACGCTCGCGCAGCTCCGTGAGCGAATACTCCTTGAGGATCTCCTCACGGTACAGCAGCCAACTGACGAAGCTTTGCCCCATGTACTGCATGCGGTTCCAGCGCTTGATCATGGCACACCACGACCTCTGCAGTGCCTCGTACTCAGCGCCCTCGATGGTCTTCTGTCGCGCCGCGCGGAAGCGGCGGAAGTAGTCCTTCATAGTGTCGAGGGAATCCGGATTCTCAGCCTGACAAGTCGTACAAGGCCCATGGCACGATCTCGCCTTCCATCGCGCGCTGTCCGCGCGCGCCATACGGGTACATCGTCGCCGGTGCACCTCCGGTGTCTGCTGCTGCTCCAAGAGTGTGTTCGCTCGGTCCCCAGTTGTCGCCTGCGCTCTGCAGGTGCTGCCGTTGCTGCCGCTCGTGGTCATGTTCTCTCCGACGGATTTTCAGTGTTCTTTGCTGCATTTACCGTGTGTAAGCGCATCTTCGAGAGGGGGGGGGGGGGTAATGAGCCCCTCCAGTTACATAAGTAGGTTTTAGTTTGATACAGAAGTAGGTACGTTCGCGTGCAGTGCGCACGCGCATAAGTGTCCTTCTCTGATTGGCTGAAATGGGGAAGATAGACCCATTTCTAGCCAATCAGGAGCGGACTTGCATTTGTGTGGTTCTAAGGGCTCGGGGCTCCAACCCCAGCCCCAATACATAAACAGAGTTGAATCTTCCCAAGACTGCCTTCTTGATCTTCCTGCATTGGGTCCCATCGAGAGCTTCCTCAACGCTACGTGTAAGCTAATAACGGCACTCACCTGGCTCGTTAATCTTTTTCATAGCATCGCTTGACACAGTGAAAATCAACATTTTCGGCCTTTACAAATGCTTTGAAGGCCTTGATGGCCGTAGCTTGAGCACGCTTGGTGTTTCCAGGCTTGAGCTCGTCCAGGCCCATGATGGTCGGAAAGGATGCAAATATGCAAATGATATGCAAGTATCTAGAACTTCGTAAGGACATGCATATATTTCTCCTTGGTTTCCGACTCGATACGTCGGAAAGGCTGGTTTAGAGGACCTACCTAACCCTCAATGTTGCAATTGGCTAAATTAATCATTGTCAAGTAATATGACTGGCTAAAATTAAATACAATATTCTGATTGGCTGATTATAACAAAATTAGCACAATACAAAATCTTAGTATGGTCAGAAAAGTGTTTATATTCATCCATATCAACTCGGTAAATTTCTCTCATTCATTGTACTACCCATCTATCTCTCTTTCTTTTTCTACGAATGACTAGTAGTCTGGTTACCCTAGTACTATTAAGTAGCTCCACATGCGTAGTAGCCCTCATCGATGGTGCTATTCGCGGGGACAAACAAAAACACCCGCATTATTTTTGGCACGGCTTTGAATCGTCTCTTTGTACTTTCAGTATTCACGCCGCCACTTCATCAGGCACCTTCTCAAGTGATTGCTAGGTGAGGAGGCAGTGTCGGTGCGAAGATGGGGTGCTCTCACACGATCTTCATCGACGTCCGAGGTGATTATGTTACTCGAACGGGCCTTTGCCATCTTGCGTTCAGCAGTTGATACCGCTAAAGAAGTTTTTGTAGTTTATTCGAAGCTGAAGACACATGATGGGGAACTGGCGAAGCTCCTGCTTTTTGTAGCCTAGGTACTAATCGATAAAGGCAAAGTGATCTAGTTCAACGTGGATCTCGCTAGCTCCGGAGACGTTTGGACGACTTCGGCACTTGGCTGGGCAGTGTTCATGTCAACACTCTTGTCGCTCTACTATGCCAACATATTTGTCGTTATATATCAACCGCATTGTCGGTATTACCGCTGCACCGTTCTGGCGCTATTGCGCTAGAAAATGATATGCTTCTGACTGTTGCTTGCCAGAACAGCCTTGATATGTGTATGCACTACACAGAGTTAGACTTGAAAGATCGTATGTAATACAGCAGATTTAGAGCTAGCGGATTTCGTGTAAACTCCGACTTCAAAAATATAGCTATAGCGGGCCGTTTTGGCAGCGACGATCGCTCTGAAAGGGCGAGTTTGTCTTAAATCGCCAAGTTATTACACAAACTATTTGTTTATTCAAATTACGCTAGCACGGGCTTGTTTGAGCTTATAACCGAGAAAATATCCAGGGCTCGGCCTGAATATCCGTTAGGAGCAATAGGCATGAGAGCACTGTTCTCTGAATAAAATATCAGAATTCTCTGGACATTTATATCCAGAGTCTTAGGTGGGTTCCAGACCCCTCGTGGATCCTATGCAAACAAATATTTTTCTGCTTGTGTAATCACTCAAATTTTACTTCCTTACAGAGGGTAAGATTAACCGACGGGGTATTTCATGATATCTGATATTCTATGCGAAATTGGGTCAATGTTGACCCAACC